AGAGACATTTGCCTGGTGTAGTTATAGCAGTTAAAGGACTTGATTTATGTTTGTGTAATGGGAACTAGGATCTTTGTCATTCCCTAATCGATAAAAACATTTTAGCCAATCATTCATTATGTCAGATACAGCTGTTATTTGATCAAACTTTTTAAATAACTAGTCTCGAAAATGGAAGATTTACTTACATAATGCTTGTAAAAAGTGTGTCTTTGAGAAGTATTAAATACCTGATAATAAACTAAATGTGGAAACGATTGTGTATAATAAAGTTTCTGTGGTACAGTTTACACAATACTGCTTTTCACAAGCTGCAGATATAAAGAGAACGTATGCTTTAAAGAAATAAACGTATTACCAAAGATTAATTTTTTGTAGGAAATTTTATTTAGTAAATACGTTTTGAAACACCATAAGTTTTAGACTTCTTGGTAAGATATACCTGTTGCGATTTACACTGGCAGACAAGAAAGTCATTAATCTTGATTCAGAGAATTCATTTTTAATACTTTTTATAAATGATATTTCTATCGAGTAGAGGATGAATACCTTGAGAACTCTCATATTTTACAGCACAGTGAAATAGTTTTGAGGTTACCAGTATACAATGGATGATTTAAACAGTCTTTAGTTTACCAGATCACAATGAAAGAACTAAAACAGTCTTTAGTTTACCAGTCTATAATGGATGATTTAAACAGTCTTTAGTTTACCAGATCACAATGAAAGAACTTAAAACAGTCTTGAGTTTACCAGATCACAATGAAAGAACTTAAAACAGTCTTGAGTTTACCAGATTACAGTGAAAGAACTAAAACAGTCTTGAGTTTACCAGTCTATAATGGATGATTTAAACAGTCTTTAGTTTACCAGATCACAATGAAAGAACTAAAACAGTCTTTAGTTTACCAGTCTATAATGGATGATTTAAACAGTCTTTAGTTTACCAGATCACAATGAAAGAACTTAAAACAGTCTTGAGTTTACCAGATCACAATGAAAGAACTAAAACAGTCTTTAGTTTACCAGTCTATAATGGATGACTTAAACAGTCTTGAG